ATTTAAGTAATCTTCTACAGAGTATTCAGGGTCTGTTCCTGTGAAAACCATTAAGGGTTTATTTGATGTTATTGATGATCCACCCATAAGGTATGGATTCATTGTCATTTGTAATGATTCAGCTGCATTTGGCATTTGAGAAAAATTTGAAAGTTGGTTTCTTGTTATTTCATGTTGTTGAAGATAATACGGGAGTGGTATTTCATTTTGCATTTGTGATGGTTGATACGAGTGTGTAGTCATTGGATTTTGTTGTTGAATTGGTTGAAAAGATTGTATATTAATTGGATTTGGTTGTTGAATTGGTTGTTGATATTGTGCATCTATTGATTGTGGAGAAAAATTTCTATGGTTTGTACGTGTTTTCTGTATTCCTTGTCTACGATATTCTTGAGTATTTGGTGCAAATATATCTGGTTGTAAGAAATCTTCATCTGAGGATAAATAATCCATTTGATAAGATGTTTGTTTTTTATTTTTATTTTGTTGAAAAAATGGGTAATTTTCACTGCGATCCTGTGGAGGATTTGGTTGAAAATTTGTGGAATTATATTGGGCCGTTGGGTTATCCCAGTTTCGAGGTTTTGTATATTGATTAAAATTTCTTTGTGGTTTATAATTTGTTTTTGATGGATGTGTATAATTATAATTATGGTCTGCAAAGTTGTTTCTAGTGAATGTTTTGCGTGTTTTTGATGGTATTGTCATGGGTTTGTATGTTTGGTAATTTATATGTGAATATTTAGGGGCAACCGAAGGTTTAACGGTTGATTGTAAGGTTACCTGTGTTTGTGAAGGATTTGTATTTCTTGGTGTTGTTAAATTTGGGCGTATTGGTGAAATACTTTGTTGTGTAGTTGTTGTGTGTACAATTTCTTCATTTATGAAGTGTGATGGTGTCTGTATATCTTGTTGAGTAAGATTCCTAGTTCCATTGAGGTTTTCATTGTGTATGACTGTAGAGTTTAAACTATTATTTTGTGTATCGGGTAAAAATGTATTATAGTTTAATGGTGTTGCATCAATTGTTAATGGTATTACTCTTACATAATCTCTTATGTAAGATATTGTACCTATTGCTTGACTTGAGATTGATTGTGGAAAGTTTATAAATACGGGATGAGACCATTCGGGGTCCCAAACATAATCTGATTGTTCTGTGATAGCTGTATCATCGTTCGAGTTTTGGGGTCTAAAATTTTTTCTTGCTTGTGCAATTAAATCAATATTGTGTGTAAAATAATCTATTATGAACCATGCTAAAATTTTTTGTAAATCGTGTTTGGTATGTTGTGAAACGTCGTCTTTCGTGAAATTTTCTTTAATGATGTTTAAATAACTAGAGAGTAGTGTGATTTCATGTCGTACTCTTAAATGTTTAGATGTTTCTGTCGGTGAGACATTTGTTAATGGGAGTTCATTTTCTAATATCGAAATATAACTATATATTAGTGCGAAAACTTCATTGGTGAAAATGGAGTTTGCTCTTTGTGAGTTATGGTATTGTATGCTTTTTATATATTCTGAAAAAACTTTTGAAAATTCTAAATCAAGGTCGTCTGTTTGAATAGTGTATGTTCTATTATTATGGTTTGGGGAAGTGAATTCTATAGAGTAGATTCCATATTGTTGTGTTATGTTGCATATATCTTTTAGATAGTGATCTATGATTTGTCTTTTGATTTTTACATCGGGGAACTCTGTTTTACATGGACTGATTCCGGGTTCAAATAAATTTACGAGTAAATTTTGACAAAATATGTGTTGTCCTCTATCAGTATCTGCATCTACTATAAAAGGAAAGATTTCATCATCATCTGGAGTTTCGTCACCTGGGGTGTGCGTTGAACTCATTTTTTCGTTCGATGACTGTTAATATGTAATTATTAATGTGTCGAATTGGTTGATTCCAGTTGTATAGATGTACTGGTTTGTGTTTATACTGCTTTTTTATTCTTCTTTTTCCTCTTTGTGATGAATTTGAAGTTGTTTCTGAGTCAGAAAAATATAATTGATCGTGTTGTGGGTAATTTTTATCTATTGATTCTTTTAGTTTGTAGAGTTCGTCTAAACTGTTGGTTTCTGATTCTGAAAATGCGTTTCGATTTTTTGAAAATCTTTTTCGTGTTATTTGTCTTTGTTTAGTGATTATTTTTCTCTTTAGTGTTTGTCGTTTTGTTCGAATGTATCCAACTGTTTGTGTATGAGGTGTGATTACAAGGTCGTATTTTTTGTTATCTATTTCACAATTGTGTAAAACGATTGTTTGTTTATTCCCTAGGTTTTTAAATGACATAAGGTTTAGGATGACGGGTGCAAAAGGTTGTTAAATGATTTCTATTTTCCTAAACTGTTAGTTCTTACGATTTTTTGGTTAGCTTAACCTGGGTCTATTTGTTTAGGGTTGGAGAGAAAAGTATATCGATTCCGAAGAATGATTTTTACTTTCTCGTGACTAGTATAAGCTAAGGTGTTAACTTACTTAATCTTACTTAGGGGTAGTGATTGTGTTCAAGGGTTGGAGAATAGTAAATCGATCCACAAGGTTCAGGTATAATTAGAACGCGAGTAGTTCGTTAGATACTATTTTAAACTTACTAAGTCTAAGATTTATCCTGGGTCTGGTAAGAGGGGGGATCAAGTGAAGGATGAATAACCGAAGTTCTTCACTGTTTATCCTAATTTGAATGATTAGTTTTGTTTAAAAATTTCTATTAGTCTTGGGTCTTTAGAAAGGGTTGGGTAGTGAATCGACGTTTGAGGTCGTTAGACACTAATTAAGTGGGTGGGGGAGAACAAAGTTGTTCTGTTTGATCCAAGGATAAGCCTTGATGATCAAATTTAAAATGTAATGAAGTAGAAAATGATTTAAGATCCAAGGATAAGCCTTGATGATCTGGTTTTAAAATTAAGTGACTTTAAGTTTTAATGAGGTTTTAAATTTGTGTAAAGGAAAGATTTAGTATTTTATGATATTAGTGAGTTGATGATTGCTGTTATGTTTTAGGTGATGAAGCTGGAACAACAGGATGATTTATGATTACTAACCATTTATTGTCATGCTACTAATTTTTATTTTTATTTTCCAATAAATATTTTTCAAACATATTTTGTATAATACTGCAGAATTTTAGGAAAACGATCTTAGATCTTTTTATCAATCGTTATTGTATAATATTAATTTTGTTTAGCGCCTGAAATGATTTTGAAGATTTACTTCAAGGTTTTATGTTTGCAAATGGAAATCTAAATTCATTGCAAGTAGTATTCGAAATATAAAAGTTTGTTCTGGCTTTTGCCGAACTATCATGTAACTATACGGCAAGTTTCTACTTTGTCGTATGTCGTCTTTGGTTCGATGTCTTCTTCCAATTCCGGGTAGTTCTATTATGGTTCGGAATATTGGCTCGGATCTATTGAGTCGGAGAGACATTTCAATTAAATTATTGTCGTATAACATTTTGTAAATGTTTTTGTCTAATTTCTAATCTAATTTTGGTTAATTCTAATCTAATAAGGTCTTGTTCGAGACTTATGGTCGCACCAGATGAGTTAGGACTGGAGTGTAACTCATAGAGTAATTTCGGATAGGGTACACCGTCTGCTCGTCACGCTATCTTATTTTCGGCCGGATAGATTCGTGCAACTTCTTAGTCTAATACCGATCCTAATCTTACTCTTATACTATCTAGTCTCAGGTTGTTTAACTAGTCTCTGCTAGGCTCAATAGATCTAGGGTATACTGGTTTATTGCGGCTGCTGAAGTGCTCGGGAGAGTCCAACTAATTTCTAAGTTAAATTCAAATCTCTCTGGTGCTGAAATTACAAGTAACTTCAGCACTTACAAATAAGTGGGTTGTTAGTTAGATGGATCATGATTGGTTAATATTAAATACTTTACATTGGTAAAACATTTAATTTATCCAATCATAAAATATAGTTTAGATCAGGTTCCACACGGCACGAATATGTTGAAATGAGCTTTGAAAGAAGCCCAAGTTTCAAAATTTTCCTTTTAACCCAGAGTAGTGGTCGAAGATTATCCATGAGACTAATAGATTTGCCAGTTGGGAATACAGATTCAAAAATTGTCAGCTAATTTTGCCAGACGAGTCTGAACAACATCAAAGAGCAGAACTTTGCGGGAAGGGTACCGGCCATTTTCGGGAATAGAATCGGGTGTCGAGTCCAGTCTAGACCGCACTTTCCTCTGAAATATTTAGACACAGAGGCGAAGCTGAGCTTAGCACCACTAGCGATACCAAACAAGCCACATTTATATTTTAAAAAAGAAAACGAACTGAACTTAAAAACAAATCAAAACTCAAACAGCCAAAAATCAAATTTTAAGACTTTCCTTGAAAAAACGAAAAAATCATCCCAACTTATATGTGTGTCTTCACTATGTCCATTGACACATTATGAAATCTCAATCAGAACTAAGGAGCTTTCAAAATAAACGAATGTCAATTCCCTGTGTATTGTTGCAGGCTTACTTAAAATCGAATGACAAAATACACTGAGTTGAGGCTGTACTTCGCATATAGCGAAAAGAGCTTAAAGCTGAAAAGAGCAATTACTTTAGTAAATCTCGGATAAAACAGGTTCTGTTATATCGCTAAACAGAAAAGAGCAGAACACATGGCGAAGTTAAACACAGAAGTTAAACCCAAACTTTCTTGTTACTCTTTTCCCCAAATAATCCAAAATTGTCACCGCTTATACGCATCGAAGTGTGCGTTAAAACTGAAGCTCAAAGATTAAACAGCAGCCAGACTATTCGCTTTGCAATCGTTCCTTTGGTGGTTGGAATCCCAATATGATTCGGACGGATGATATTAAGCATGATTTGCATGTAGTATGAGTAACACAAAAATGTAGATGATTTGCATATTGTTCACTGAAGTCGCAAAACATGATTTTCCCACCGACGCATTTCGCATCGATATAGTTAATCGGCAAAAAACGACTATCTTCTGATGAGAATTGTCTGAACTTACTTTTTCAGCTTCACACTCTGCCGCATCAACGTACTGCATTTCTGTGCAGTCCACTGCTTTGGGGGCCATCGGCACCGAAGAGTTAGTCGGCATCAGATACGTCAATTCCCTCTCCCTCTTCCCAGTTGAACCTCCCTTGCCACTAGCCTTCCACTTCGCACATGTGAATCTAGTAGCCTTGCGTCTCTTCAGAACCTAGTCACAATTGAAGGGTTACAGAAAAAAATCGCAGTTAAATTCACTTTGTTGGCAATATCTATAACCTCGAGCATCTTTTTCGGTCGGAAAATATCGGTTTTTAGGTTTAAAATTTTTATCTCACAGTTTGGACATGTTGAAATGAGTGCAAAACTTGTTTCCGAACAAATGAGCAGTTTCAAGTTGATCCAAGAGGATATTGCCAACAGTTTGTCATGAATTGTTGTTCGGTAAATGAGACGACAGGACTTAAAAATGGCGAGACACTAAGCCAGAATAAACTTGCAGCTTTCTGATAGGTTGCATCTCTAGCGGAGAAAAGAGTTTTCATGTTTGTCTTTCCTCTGATTTGATCATCTTTTAAAAAATCCCGTGTGAGTAAATGTCTGCTTAACAGATGCTGAAGTCTTATTCGCAATCAACTATATACGGGTTATGTTTTGTTGGAAATTATTCATACTGACGACACTCTCTAAAACTTCAGCAATCGACAGCATACAGCTTATGGTTAAATATTGAAGCAGTGCCGGTAACAGTAACCACTTAAGATTGCAATACAACTTCACAGTAAGGGTAATGTGATCGGCTTAGCTTGCCACAGAAACGTCGAGTTTTTGAGGCAACGGTATCTTGTTAATTAACCACTCCCCCCTAAGGTACCAGCAAAGAATTTCTACCCCTTATTAAGGGTTCAATCAATGATTCGTCAGCGGGCTATTTTGTACCTTGCAACGATGAGAAGAAATAGGTAAAAAGATCCCAAGGCAAATGAAAGGGTTTCTTTTTCAACATTTTCCTTCGAGGGACATTCTTTTTTGCACTTGAACTTTATTTACTAGCCTCGTGATAGAAGTCACTTTTTTCGAACAGCATATTGAATGCCGAGTCCACACTAATGTAGTAAATATTATCCAGATACTGAGTCCAGCCACTCTTAGCTTCATGCACATAGCAACTACACTGGAGCTCCTCTTGGTCAGAGAGTGATGAGATCACTGGCTCAATAAGATAGCTCTCATCGTCTTCGTCTTCTTCCATCGCCATGATCCCTCCGCCTACTCTGAACCCTATCTCTGCATTGGAAGGTGGACTCAACTTCAACGTCTCTGTCAGAACATCCCTGAAACAACACACTATACACAACAAACCAACATTTGTTCTCTATTCTCCGCAAAAGATGAAAACGAAAAGCAGCTAATGGAATGAGTTCATAAATTGGGCACACTGACTTTCAAGAAAAATTAAAAAGCTTCTATTTTTCGATTTCTATCGGATTGAAGCTCTTGTTAGTTTTTGGGGATATAGATTGGGATTCTTGAAATTAACCAGAACTTTCTAAATGAAGTAAGAATTTCCCCGTATAAACCTCATTTCCATAATCGGAAAGCTTAATAAGTTTAAAATAAAGCCACCGAAAGACAGAAAATTTATCTTGAACAAATTGTGAGCCCTCAGAAAAGGAATACAACTCGAATCAGTGTCTTCATTTTCTATGCTAAAACTTAATTTAAAACAAGGGCGAAACAGAGAACAGGGCTTTGCAACACCTGCGATACACAAAAAAATAGAAAACAAGAAAGAAGTCAAAAGTATACATTTCTACAGAATTAAGTTGAAAAAATTTCTGAAGAAAATAAGAAATTTCTTTTTTTTTGTATTTTTATCAGATTGAGGCTCTTGATGGTTTTTGGGAAAAACATGAACAATCGCATATTTTTATTCCTATTAGAATTTTTAAAATTAACTGTAACTTTCAACCTAAAATGAAGAAAGAACTTCCCCCGCACTACCATTTCCATTATCGGAAAGAATTTTTTCAAAAATGAATCTGGAGAGCAAGCTTAATATGCTAAAAACAAAGACGCCAAAACATAAAAATTATCTTGAACAAACTTTGAGCCCTCTGGAAAGAAGCACAACTTAAACCAGTATCTTCATTTTCCTCGGTAGAATTTACTTTAAAACACAGGGGCGAAGCAAAGCTTTGCAACACCTGCGATACAAAAAAAATAGAAAACTAGACAGAAGTCAAAAAAATATTGAAAAATTATGTTGAAAAATAACTTGAAAAAAGTACACCTTCAAAAATTTCATGTTTGTTTCGGAAGAAGTTCATAAGCAAACTAAGGAAGCATTGGGACTCAATTACCGAGCGGCAACAAGGAAGACAAATTTTGGGTCGACCCCAGTTGAGCCGAAAACAAAACGTTTTATGATGATTTAAAAGTTTTTACGACTCATCCGTACTGAAACACATAATCGCATAAGAATGTATTTTGCGCTCTAAATTACGCATTATAAGTTGACTAAACCGGTACAGCATAACCCAAAAAAATTAATCATTCAAAATCTAACTAGTAACTGAACTTTCAATTATTGTAAAAATTTAAAATAAAAACAAAATAACATTCATGCTTTGAAAAGTAAGCCTATAAAAACCGTACCAGATAATATAAATAACATTTTTTTTTAAATCGGAAAATGAACCGATAGAAACTAAGACAAAAATCCGAAGAAATCAATATTTTTTTTCGAGAAATTGTATTGAAACAATAATTACTACCTGGAACCAGCTATAACAAATTACTACTTAAATGATTGCAATTTTATTTGAAATCTTTTTTTGACAGCAATTTCATTTAAACTACTATCATTAATTGTTCCGACTTTCGATACGAAAGTAACGGAATATTTGTGCTCGGGGTGGGTTTTTTTTTTCTTCAGACAAATTTTTAACTAGCCATTTTTGACGGAATCTTTTTATATCATTCGAAAGTTGTCCTGAGCTCAAATTTGAAAAGATATTTCACCTGTGATCATTTTTCGTAAAGTTACGGGGGTTTAAAGATTGCCATTTTGGCCAATTTGGGACAATTAACGCGCGATATATTTCGCGCTATTAACGCGTAAGCGGAGAGTTAATCCGTCTTAGAAATTGTTCCAAATTGATTAAAAGAAGCTTATTTGCCATAATTGGTTTGTTACAACGAGCGAATTCTATCCTTTTGTACTTTATATGGCGTGTGGGGGGATGATTTTTATTAAAAAATTTCACAAATTGTGAGAAAAAAAATTTTCTTTCAATTTATTTCATTGAATTTTTTTTATGTTATTACTGCTCCATAAACCTTAAAAGGCAGTCGGAACAATCAGGGCTTCGCCCTGATACGAGCAGTCTTGTTTAATTTAAAAAATGATAGCAGAATTTTACATTCTGTGAACCAAGTTGTCAACGGGAAAAAAGTCTGGTGCCCGAACCCGATTGCAACACCCTTGCTCATCGCAAGAGTATAAAAATCAACCATACCTATTAGAGAAGCTGTGTTCTTCCTCCCCAAGATCCGATAACTCAGCATTAGGATTCGAATCAAAGCAAAAAGATGAGTGATTTGCGTTTAATGTTGATTTCGACATCAAAAGAACGGAATATGAAAGAGCCACTTTATACCATAATATATGGGTTATCTATATATTGGTTGTTGGTTGGTCGCCCTCAAGCTGAATTAAATCACGAAGATAAAATTCAATTTGTTCGCTTAATGTTTTCGATCTATGTAAACATTATTTTCATTAGCTCTCTTACATTGAACTTGATTTAGTTTCATTTGCAGCGATCGTTATATTACTTTTTGCAAATGCAACATTAATAGAAAAACAATTGCAACGGCTAATAAAAACCGCATTAGTGATTCGCAAAAAGAATCTAAAAAGCATATATTGAATTCGTAAAATAATGAAAAAAAAAAAACTAAAATTAGAACAATGCACATTAGCCTTGCAGCACTTGCATTACGAAAAAAAAGCACGAGGAACACTTAAAGCGAACTCTGGAAAAACAACATCTCCCGAAAAAAGAAATACCAAATTAATGAATAACCACCCCATTCCTTGAAAAATGTTGATTCCTCATTGCCACAAAACATCGTTATTTCTAATAAGGTTTTGAATTATATTCATAGATGCCAAGCTGTATTTCGAAAGCACTATCAACAACCAGGGTGAAAAAATACCATAAAAGGACAAAAGCATAGCCAGCAGACTGTTTGAAAAGTGTCTGCTGGCTGAGTCAATGAACGCAAAAAAAGTACTGACTTGTTTTTTGAAAAAATCTCCTTCCAAAATTCAAAGAAAAAAATAGATGCCCTTAAAACAAACCCAATAATTAACCCAATTTGAGAAAACAGGATCAATAAGTAAAATTTATGATACGCTAGAAACCTGAAAACTATCATCCATTTTCGAAACTAGAAGTCAATCACGTTTTTCATGGCCTTTACACTTTCGCTGATCAACAGTGGAGTTTGCCTTCTTTTGAACAAAAGAAATGAACTGAACTTAAAAAGAAATCAAAAGTCAAACCGCGAAAAAGTATATTAGCCTGAACAAATTTAAAGACTTTTCCTACAAAAAAATCATCGCGACTCCGTTAAAACTTATTGCATTTTTTCCGTTAGTATCATTTTGTATTGTTAATAATACAAAATCATACATGTATATTATTAACAATTTTAGCAGTAAAAACTTTTGAACTTTTTAGCTTCCTTTCCCCCGCATACTGTAATACTTCAAGCTCAAAGAAAACTAAAGTTTAGGCCGCAATCAATTATAAATATTATATAACGAAAAGAATAATGACACGAAATTAAAAGAAGCGCCAACATTCGAAATTATCCCTATAAAAATTTGACTTAATATCTGAATGAATACCCAATTGCTTAAAAATTTATAACTTGCCGCAAGTAAGATTTAAAAAATGGCCAAAAACGAAAAAGGTGAATCGTCCAAATTTTTGGCCCCAAAAACTTTAGTGTTATTTGAAAAAATGTACATGCAGCTACCTAATGTAGGAGTGAGCATTGTGGCAATTCCAATGCACTTATTGCAGCTGCAATTGCAGCTTAGAATGAGTTTAAGTATTAACATACTGTTTATACATTTTCTAATGGAAAAAGTCTAGCACTTGGTTCAACTCTTGTTAATCGCAAGTTTGTAAAAAAGATAAAATTACGACACTGAAAAGTCTTACCCTTCATCTCTAGTCAAGGTCTTCCCGTTTATTTCATTCACTCCTACATGCAAACTGTTACTCTCGCCCGCACTTCTTTTTCCAACTTTTGACCTCGGTTGATCATCTGTCTTCATTGATACGCCAGATCCATTCGAGAGTATTTTCACCCTGTCATCTGATTCAATCTCAATTAAGGGCACTTTGACAGCTGTAACTTCCGGTTGCAAAATTGTTGGTGACTTCACACTTCCCGCTCGTGTCTCAGATCCACGCAGGTTCGTTGACTCGGCTGCAGAACTGTTCTCGGATTCAATCGCGCTGTTATCTCCATTTTCATTATCGTCAGAATCTCGCGCTGCGACAGGTTGTTGAAATTTGCGACCTATGAGTGAGAATAAATATTTTCCACAAATGTGAAGCTTCACTTCGCAATCGAGCAAAAACAGTAAAAAGGGCTCTAAAAACGGAGAAAAAAATTTGAGAAAATCTATGAGCTATAAAAATCTAATTACAAAAGCAAAGCAGCAGTTCGCACCAATTGATATACATCACAAATATTGCAGCAAGCTGGCCGACAGAAAAACTAAGCGAAAGCCAAAAAGCCTTAAAACTGCTTGAAAAATTTCATACAATTGTTTAAATTAATCAGATAATTGCTCGGAAATTGCCAGTTTTGAAGTAGCATTGAAGCAAAAATTTACACAGAAGGGAAGCTGCGCTTAGCAAACACAGGAATTGCCTCTAAAATGTGTGAAATTACAAAAAAAAAAATGCAAAAGCTGTGAAAATTAAAAATTTTTGCACCCACAACCTGTAGATTAAAGTTTTCACAGCCTGGCATCAGCGCCATTTGCTCCGGTGTTTTGCAAAACACTAGCCACAAACAAGGCGGATAAACCTATTTAATTGCCACTGCTTTTGCTATCCAGTAAAAGAGCCTATAAAATGAGAACTACTTCGTGCTAGTTACATTACAAAAAAAAACACTCGTATTATAACACAAGAATCGCAATTCACATGCATCGGCAACTAAGCCGACAACATTTGGGTAGACGCTCGTTGTCATAAAAACTCAGCTTCAAAAATTTAGTTTATTTACAGCTTAAAAATTTTGAAACTTAAAGCTTCAGGTCACCTAGAAGCACAAACAACCAAACGCATAAAACATATCTTCATCTTTCAAACGACACAATATGAGGAGGCTAATCTATGGTAACATGAGTGGAAATCGCTAAAGCACAACAAACCTTTTGAGCAAAAAACGATACAAAGTATGAGATAGTAAAAATACAAGCATAAAAAAACGACACAAAAGCGAAGCTGAACTTTGCAAACACCAGCGACAAAATAGCTTTCATAAGATACAAATGAGAAAAAGGCGCAGAAAACAAAAATATTAATGAGTTTCGAAAAAATGAATGCCCTCTATACGGGTATCGTACCTCACCCTCGAACATACAACTCGGCTGCCCCTACACAACTGGGCCACCCCTGTTTTGCTCCGAAATGTGACAAGATCCGATTTGCTAGTTTGATTGGAACAAAAATTGGATCCGTATTCTAACAAAATGGCCGAAAATTGCATGCGTAAATAAATATGTATTTATAATGGAAACATGCTTAAAACATGACTATGAAAAGTAACACACAGACGCAAAGCTGCGCTTGGCAAACACAAGCTACAAAAACGCAAGAAGCATCTTTAAAATGGACAAAAAAGAAAACGAAGAAACTAATGAACGTTTTCCAGTTTACTGCCCTACACAATTATGCCACTGACGCTTATAAAAACCAAAGACAAGCGATGAAGCGGCAAATGGGTGCTTTAAAACGCACAAAAACACAAATTTTGCATGTAATAATTTGGAACCTAATGACCTTAAGGCAAACAACCAACTTAGCATGCTATAAATTGGAAAGTATAAAGCCATGTGTAAAAAATATCTATTTCGAAAATTTCGCGAAATATATTGAGTTGGAAAGTTTCTGAAAAGAAGTTTTTTAATCAATTGCTGAATGAAATAAATAGCTTTCTTCGGTTTATTTAATGAATTAAAATCGCATCATCTGTGTTAATTTTTAGTTATCGCATATCAAAACACATGCTATTAAGTACCACCAAAAATAGAACTAATTTTTGTGACTTAGGTTGGAAAAAAGTAGCATGTACTATCACACTGCGCTCCGCGTGTTTACAAATATCGAAGTCCACATGATTCAAACCCGGTCTTTCAGATTAAGAGCCTCCCGCTTTCATCACTTCAGCTCGCTTGTTTAATAAACTATGCTGTTAAATTGTTTCATAAATACAGGATTTTGAAATAAAAATTAGGCTGAGCAGACAAAAACTAGGTAATTACAAACCGTAGTTGCGATTGAGTTCCTTCCATAAGACTTCCTCTTTTCCGTGTTCAAAGTACATCGAGTCCTTCTGGAAGCACTGGAAATAGTAGTTGATCAGTGCTAGACTCTTGTCTCGGCTGGTGAACGATGCAAACACTGTACTGGTTCTGTCCTTCTTTGCCACTAGAATCGCAGTAGGGAAAAGAACCATCACTTGATGCTTCTTAAGCACCTCAATTTCGGAGAAGCTTATGAACATGAGGAGACGACGACGGATGAACGAATTGAAGAAAAGTCCTTGAGAAGTGACGTATAACTTGCCTTAAAACATACAATTTTGACTTCATGTAGATACTGAAAAACCACAAATTTTTTGCGTGTTTTTAAATAACTTCAGGCATATTCAAAAAAATTTCGTTTTTTATTTTTTTGATTTGTCATTCATATTCGCTATATCAGTTTAATCCTACAATTTTTTTTTAAATCACCTTGTTCAAGTAATCCTGGGTCTGTCTGTAGTGCACATCCATAATTGGTCAACAATATTCCACAATTTCCGAACTCACTTGGAGGAAACAGTTTTTCAAAGTCATCAACAACTTTTTGATAAGAAGGTGCAAAAATATTGGAGAATATTCCAGATGATCTCCCTGGACCGGGCGCGGTTGAGTTTTTCCTTTGATCTGTTTTTCGTCTACTAGATCTCTGACTTGCAGTTAACGCAGAACTACTTGATCTATAAAAAGAAGTCCCTTACTTCATTTTTCAAAACTCGAATCATTTATCACTAGAAACTAAAACTAACTGTAACTCTGAGGCGAGCGCTACATCAGTTGACAGCTTAGTACTGGAACGCCGTTGAGAAACGCCAGGATTGTTTCCCAGAGGTGAATTACTGCTGACGTCCAGTGAAACGTCTGTCAAATAAGAACTTTCGCGTCGTGATTTTTGATCAGAAGACACTATACTACTCGAAGTCTTTTCACTCGCATTTGAATATTCTTCGGGTGAACTAGGAGGGAACTTGGATTGCAATGTCTCGGTTCCAGAAGTAGTGGCGCTGGTTGATCGAGTTAGTTTATTTTGCTCTTCAGCTTCACTCACATTATCATGTGGCTTCAGCGACCCATAACTCATGTGACCTGTAGATCTTTCAGCAGTTTCTCCTTCATTTGACTTCGACATAATTTGTAAATTTGAACTGCAACTGTTGTTTTCAGTTCCAGAATTTAATTTTATCCCTGAGTCATTGCTAGTTGCAATTTCAGATGGTGACCTGAGACTGCGATGATCTTGTTTGGAGTCAATTATAGGAGATTGATCTGAATTTGTTCCACTCGACAACGTTCCGACAGCATCGGTGTTTTCTTTCGTGCTGTTATCAGAACTATTAGCTAATTTCGAATTTGTCATTTTCGCTAAATTTATTGGGTTGAAAAAAGCGAGGGATTGTCCTAGAAAGCAAAGTATCTAAAGAAAACGGACAACCAAAATGTAAATAAGAACTGAGAACTTTAGCCTGATCAAACATTACATTTCTGTTGCAACTTTCGTCACAAGACTAGTAAAATAATTGACTTTCCTGCCAAAGTAACGAGCAATAAAGGACTGGAACTTCTATGAGCGCAGAGAAGCTGGACTTCAATTCTTTCGTCTCAATCGCGGCTGATATCACTAGAAGCATTTAATACTTTTATCTGTTCTGAAAAAAATGAAAACAAACTTGGCGTAGTAACATATCATAACAAAACAGACAAAAAACTTTATAAGATCAAAAAGGTCCCCTTTTGTAATTTAGTTTTTTTTTATTAAAATCGACCCTCTTCGTTTATAGGACAGATAGAATTGTCTGTTGGATGTATTTTTAAGATTTTTGCACCCCCTAAGGCAGAGGATTGCACTCCTCAGAAGTGCAAAGTTTATTTTTGTTCTTATAAAGTTTATTGTGTCCGAGTATGATTCGTTCCGTTTCTCGCTTAGTTTCTCTGCTAGTTCAAAAGTATCATAGTAACCGAGGTTACAGTCAGTAGTCCCTTCATCATGTAATCCAGTCAAAATCCTTGGAATTTTCTAGATATGGAAGTGATAATGATAAAAGAAGATGACAAGTGTTTAAGTCCTTTTCAATTAAAATCGATACGGGTTACGTTTCTTCAATAAGAACACGCAACTCGACACGAGATAATATAATATACAAGTGTTACAAACAAAAAATTTCGTCGAAAGTTATTTTGTTAATTATTGTTCCGAGTAGTCTGCTAGTTTCCGGATGGTTTTTGTAGAGCCTGGAGCTGCTCCTCGAGTACACGCAAAAATTAGTGGAACAAAGCTTCTGTGTTCCACATCCAGAACTCTTTGTTGGTATTTAAATGTTTTGACACTCGGGACATTTGTAGGCGTCAGATATAGTTTTGGGGCAGGATTTAGCAAGGGGGTTGAAAACTTTTAATCCCCAGAGTCCATTCGCCTTGATGTCAAGTCGAGCGTCATCTTCAGTAGTGGTTGATTTGTTGTGAAAGCTTTCGCCTTCCAACGATTGAAGCTTCGGCTCTATTTCAACATCATGGCATACTTCGTCCAGGAGTGTCGCAAAGGTATCGCGAACATCACTGTCTTAGATGAATGTATCCACCTTTGGGACAGTGTAGAGAGTGGGTCAGTGTGAACGGTTGTCCACATGGGCATGTATGTGGGGTGTTTGGTCGTTCCCATCCATATCTCAGATATAATCCATCTTTAAACTCTGATTTGTTGAGGGAAAACTTTTTTCTTTTTAAATGTAGCAAGCTTAACCAATTCGATGCTCCTTTCTGTGACGCTAGATTTGTCAGTTTTTTTTCTGATGAGCAATTTTTTATATTTTTAGCCTCTTTTGAGAATGTGCTGTTTTGTGCTCTCAGTTTGATGCTTCTATTTATCAGAGTTTGTTCCGTTTCAGCTATTTCTGGATCACTGTTTTCTATCGGATCACAAATGGCTTGTGACCACTGATAATTTCTGGAAAAGTCCGTGTTACTGAGGAGGTCTAATCCTCCCATTCTTAGTGGTAAGGCAAAAATGTTGCGATCTTCATCGGTTATATGGTTTTTACCAGTAATACTAGGAAGTAGCTGATGTCTTACACTTTTCTCAATTTCATCCATTTTCTTAAATGCTTCCGGAGTTGTTCTGGTTAGAAAGCTTAATTTGTTTTGAACTCTCTTTGTGTAGCAGGAGTACGCATTTTGTGGTGATGCTGTCTTTTCAATTTCGCTTTCCATGTATTTATCGCATACTGATGGTGTTCCTATAACCGATCCAAGGACTCTAAAACCCTCTACCATTGTAATATGTGCCTTCGAATACTTTTATGGCGCTGTCACGACGGTTTTCTTTTTCTATGAGTTGACACTTGGAAGGCTTCACATTGTATCCGAAAGCCTTTCCGTGCACATCCAGGCTGTCCAGTATTGCGCGGAGACTCTTACGATCACCTGCAGCGCTCCCATCATCTGTGTTCCATTTTTGGCTTCGCATCTGCGTGACATTTGGTTTTTGCAGAAGTTCAATCAGTGGGATTGTCCCAATTCCGTACATAGCCATTGCGAGGGGATCACCTTGCGTTGTGCCTTCGGTAGATGTCAAAACCGCGTTATTGACGACATATAGATTTGAGGGATGTTTATATGAGTTGGGCAGCGCATGATGTAGCGCCGGATGAAGGATTTCTACATTTTAGAGCAAGTTGCAAGTTCTCTATTGAGCGAATTGAAGGCATTTTCTGCATCAATAAGTAGTATGGCGTCCGTTTCTGGTTTCTCAATTTTTTTCCTCAAGCTGTGGATTGCATATTCGATTCCACATTCTGACCTAAGCAGAGTTAGAAATCTCTAGAAATTGCAGCAGATTTAACTTTATCTACACCCCAAAATTCACAGCCATGCAAAATTGTCACATTATCGCTAAACAGCAATCAAAATCTGCATACACCTGCACCCTGAATTTCCGTTTTGTAAGCTATCATTAAAATTTCTTTTTTTTTGCCCATTCTGAAAATTGTCATGCAGCATATTGATTTATATAGTAGATATAGTATACTAATAACAATAATTCTTCATTAAAATTTCTTTTACGTGCCCCCAGATTTCATCTGAGTTCACACTCAAGCACCTTTTTCTTTTATTCCCGCTCACGACTCAAGAACCAATCCCTGAACACCTTCTTCAGTTTGTGCCCCTTGTATTCGAGGTACTGGGTCCTGACACACTCGAAATCGTTATTTGCCTTGCCAGTTCCTCTTTGTCATCGGAACTGATTACGATCTCTTCCCATGCCTTCAGATGTTTGTAGGCTCGCATCCAATCCTTTTGTTCTTGAAGCCTTTTCGCCTGATTCGGCAGACCCTTCACGTTAGATTTCCTATTCAAGGAAAAAGAATTGTGCAAGCTCAGGCTCACCTTCTTCGCCAAGTGCTCCTCCAATATCAATTCCCTCGCTTTGGTGTTATCTCGAGACACTCTACCAACTCTTTTTCAACCCGTGGTTATCGCATTACGATGAGTTAGCAATGGTCTCTTGAAGGCCTCGGGCTCGATCTCGGCCAGGAACTGTCGATATTCTTTCTGATGCTTCTTCATATTATTCTTCGTCACCGTATACAGTCACGACATCAGCGTCGCTCGAAACCACGAAAAGAATCTCAGGCGACTCCACACGTGCCTCACTTTTTTGGGCACAGCGACTACTTTACACGCAGTCTCGAACAACTCAAGCCTCCGGCTGTAGTCAATGGGATGTATTGACTCCACTGTTAGTGCTCTTGACTCTCGATATTTCGTCACGTTCTCCTCGATCCATCGCAATGCCAGCATCGTGCTCACCACAAAAAGAGTGACCTTCTGCTGGTGACTGGGTAGCCCTATTGACCGGATTCCATCCACGTCCCATATCAAGCAGAGGTTCGATGGTCCAGGTACCAAACTGTCTGTGTCAGACGATGGCATGGACATTCCGCGTGTGTCAGGTTGATGCTCCAGAGGTTGCATTCTCCCGAAGCTTCCAACAGAGGTTCAAACTCTATCATTTTCTCATGCGTCACATCGTTTTTTTCTATGGATGGGGCACTATTCATCGCTTTTCCAATTGTATTCTCTCTTTAAAAGTCAATCTTGTTCTCTTTTTCTAGAATCCAGAGCTCTTCCCCCCAGATATCACTCAAGTCCTCTCTTCGATCTCCAGGCACCGCTCCTAGTATCTTCCGCAACAATTTGTGAGAGTGGTGCGACATTCATGCCAATCGTACACACGTGGGCATCGAAAAAGCCTTGTCGATTAGCACCCTCTGACTAGATGCTTCCACCATCGCCATGTGTAGTGGATAATGGCTTCCACACCGGTTGGCCATGACTGATCTCACCAGAGACTTCGCATTCGTGAGAAGACCTGTAGGCCTCGCTCACAGGAATCCCATCTCCGCCTCAAGACCGATCTTCCATCCTCATTCCATTCAGGATCATTTGCAACACTCCTGGCTAAGACTCCACGCTTATCGCTGTCACCAAATGGTGTTCGGACTCCAGCATCTCTAGAGATTGTAAACTGCACATCCTCGAGAAAAATCCCAATGCCGTCGCTGCATTTACAGTGATGCTCGCGTAACACTATGCCACTATTTGCACCTCGCTCTTCTCCTTCTCCGTGATGTCACCGAACCAAGTGGTTAAATCCTCCCTCTGGAACGATTGTATTCTGACACAGGACTGCCCATCACAAGAATGCTCTCCTCCTCCACATGCCAGGTCCAGACAGCTGCCCCGCTGCATCTTAGTTACTAGATTATCCAGCTTGCTCGTTGCTCCCTCCGATTCCCCTTAAGGAGGTAGGATCAATTTGCGCACTATATTCAAATTCCCCAGATCTTCACCTTTCGCTGGCGAGAATCTTACCCGTTCCGTAATTTTGTCGATCAGGCTCGCGTGGGGATGTGGGCACCAAGATGGTCTAAATAATTTCGAAATGGTCCCAAAATTCGTATACAACACGTCTCTACTTCCTAGTCTTAGGTCGACCTTTTTGTCCGATCGCGGCACGCTGATAATTTCCGGCATCTTCTCAAGTAGCAGACCTAGGGTCGGTCTTTCTCCCTCCGTTGGGTCAATTTCAATTATTTTCTCCGTTGTATGCTATCGCCATCACACCAGACACATTGATATTCTCCCCGTTTGAAGGGCCTTGAGTAATCTTCTGCCAGAGCCAGGTTGTGATGCACATCGTGATCCTCGCCGAATTTCTTGTTGGAGAAACTCCGTATTTCATCAAGCTTTCCGTGGTTTTCTAGAGACTGCCTTGAGTCATCCCCCTTGGCGATCCCAGTACTCTGGTACACATTCAGGGTGACGGTGGCGACTCTCCTTTCCATCGTCTTACTTCCTATCGCTCTCTGGTGGCACGTCTGGACGGTGGCGTCAGACATTACTGACAAGATCCATCTCAAGAAGCAGGTGACATCTTTCCTCCTCGCTAGACTTAATCCCGAGTTATCTCGAGCAATGTGTTGCACCAACATTTGGTACAGGCGCAAACCCTTATCGCCCAGTTTGAGTTTGTCAACGCCTCTAATGCCCATCCCGCCAGGCTCCATGAAAACAGCAACAACTCCTGCTGTCCTCAAAAAGGATTCGCCATTAATGATGGTGCCGACGAGGATGCTCTCATCGCAA